GGAGAGCTGGTGCGAGAGGACGGTGGGCCAGTAGCTGGTGGAGGGAAGGAGGAGGGAGAGAAGGGAGGAAGCTGGTGGAGGAGGAGGAGGGAGAAGCTTGGCTGGAGCGGGAGCGCTTGGGAAGCGAGCAAGCTGGTGAGGAGAGAGGGGGAGAAGCGAGAGCTGGTAGAGAAGTGAGGCAGGGGGAGAAGGAGGAAGCTGGTGGAGGAGGAGGGAGAAGCTTGGTGGAGAGGAGCGGGCGAGAACGCTGGCTGGAGGAGGGCAGGAGGGGAAAGGGAGCAAGCTGGGTAGCAGAAGGAGGAGCGGGAGCAAGAGAGAAGCTGGTGGCAGGAGCGAGGGAGGCGGCGAGAAGGGAGAAGTGCGTAGAGCAAGGAGGAGGCGGCAGGAAGGGAGAGCTGGATAGAGCAAGGAGGAGGGAGAAGCTTGGCTGGAGGGGAGCGAGGGGGAGAGGCTGGTGGAGAAGGAAAAGGGAGAAGCCTGCGTGAAGATGGGGAGAAGCTGGTAGAGAAAGAAAAGGGGAGAAGCGGAGAGCTTGGCTAGAGGAAGGCAGCGAGGGGCGAGCAAGCTGGTGCGAGAAGGAGGAGGCGAGAAGCTGGTGAAGAGGGGAGAAGGAGAAGCTGGTGCGAGGAGGGCAGAAGCTGGTGGAGGCAGCGGGGGGAGAAGGGAGAGCTGGTGGCAGGGAGGGGGAGACAGAGAAGCTGGCTAGCAGAAGGAGGGCGGAGAGCCGGAGAAGGCTGGTGCGAGGTAGAGGAGGGAGAAGCTGGTGCGAGGAGGAGCGAGGGGGGGAGGAGAAGCTGGTGGAGAAGGAGGAGGGGAGAAGCTGGTGGAGTGAAGGAGGAGGGCGCAGAAGTGGCTGAAGAGGGCAGAAGCCACCTTCTCCCTCCTCCATTCTCCACCAGCTTCTTCCCCCTCCTTCTCCACCAGCTTCGCCCCTCCTCCTTCTCCACCAGCTTCTCCCCCTCCTTCTCCACCCGCTTTCTCCCTCCTCTTTCTTCACCAGCTTCTCCCCCTCCTTCCTTCTCTACCAGCTTCTCTACCGCGCCATATAGCGGTTGATAGCGTGTTGTGCGGCAGGGGAGGGTAACAGCTGGTATACAATCCTAGTCGATGTTGATATTTCATGACCTAGAAATATTGCTTTCCTGCCTGTTAAATGAGTTTTTTATGCTGATTTGTACTCATATAGGGTCCTAAAACAATTCGCATTGGTATGCCCCAAATGAGCCAACTTTGGCACTCTTGTAATTTAGCCCATAAATCAAAAAGGCGCTTGTACACCGGCATTCTCAAAATTGAACCTTTTTAACCACTTGAACCTAAAATTGATGTGTAATGATCTTTCTATGGGTTTTAGGTGCGTAGATCCATTTCTGACTTATTTTTTTGAATTCCAGGTCAGGGTCAGAAGCTAAAAAGGTCAGTCAAGCGTCAAATTTTTACTTTTCAGCCAATGAAGCAATGAATTGAAATTTCAACTAAATTACATTTTTAGTTTATTCAAGCACAGCCAATGCGATAATCATATATCTTTGACATATTGTGCGATGAGAAAACAGCCTAAGAAGCCAGATTTTAGCAAAACATGTGAATCACACCTGTTAACACGTGGATATGTAAATTATTAGCTGCGTAGCACATGTCATGTTGCATTAGTTGCATGACATTGGCTTACTTCCGACTCATCGATTTCCAGAGTAATCAGATCAGCAAAAGACTTATTCTCAACATCCACATGGCCTTCACCCTCATGATCTATATTCCTCCCACAAAATTCCTCTGCCATTCTAATTCTTCAGTCTGAGCATCTCGTCTTCTTAGGTATGGATTGCCAGCAGCTCTCTTTACCAGCCAGCAATACAGTATGAGCGTGCATGAAAGGTGTTCTTGTGTGACAACCCGACATTGCCCTCGGTGCCTGCACCTCTTGCCCTGTGCCTTACCACTACACCGGATGACATCAATCAGCCTTCTGAGTGGAGCTGGATCACCATGAGTAAAAGACAGGAATCGGCGATGCTTCCTGGCATCTCCAGCCCAAAGCAAGTAATATCAGCTGACTCATCTTTGGCGCGGGATAGCTTGGTCAGCCGATTTCCACAACATGACCTGCAGGTGCAGCCGCAGCACATGATGCCAACAGCCGTTAGCAGATGCGGTTGGAGCGCAAGGCCATGATTTTCTATCNAAATGATGCTGGGCATCAATGAAACGTATAATAATAGTATTAAAATGTGCATGCAATTATTTCATAAACTTACAGTAAGTTAACTAATGCGACTAATCAGTACTTAAATCAATACTCTAACATTACTAACATACTAACACTGTGGTCAAGTCACAAGATAGTAAAAACTGAACATTGACACGGAAACATTGTCGTTAATAAACGAAAACATTGTGTGTTAAGACACCGTATGTTATACTTTGTATCAAGAAGCCGAGAAATGCTCTAGACATGTGACGTTGGCCAGCGGTATTGGCACGCCTGGCCCGTATGTAAAAATGAACGCCGCGCATCAAGATATAAAAATTCCACTCGCCAACAAGGGCTGGTCAGAACCATACATTCTACTTAGCCCTTACGATTTCTACTAGCCTCGCGTGGTGTAACGCGCTGTGAGCGCTGTGTGCTGCGGTGCGAGACTTAGATTTGCAAGCCAGGGCTTAGACTATAGTTTCAATCATCATAGACAGTATACAAGTGGCGAAGCCATCATGAGATACAACAAGTTGAATCGGCATATCATGATGCATTTACCCTTATCGTCTGAGCTCAATAGCAGATCACTACTTCAACACCCAAGTCCACTCACAAGTCCTTCTTCCCTGATCGCTGACCAGCCTAAAATAAATAAATATACGAGCTTCATCTCATGAATAGTACATAGACGCTAGAGCACCGAAGTCGACTTTCCCGTACCGACCGTGACCAGTAGTCTACTTACACTTCCTGGGTAGATAAGATGGGCACTATAGCCGATATGTATACATAGGTTGATATCCAACCCTAGGTCTAAGACTGAAGAGTTAAGGAACACCGCGTATAAGCCCCCGTATAGCATTCAGGCCAGCCACGCTATAGAGCCGCTGCTGCCCCAGGTTGTATCTCGAGTACGTAGATACGTTGGATCTTGGACACAGCCAATTTCGTTTAACCCTCTAAGCAGTCACGGAATAGCGATAAGTAGTGGCGTCTACTTGATGGTACTAAACTGCACCGACAGCTATTCCATTGGGCCTGCCAAAGTCAGACTGTATTAGATAACAAACGAGTACTTATCTTTTGGCTGTATAATTTTCGTCTCATTGGAACCAGTCCCGTTTAGTCCTTTTTGAAATAACAAATACCAAAACCAGAGTATGTATTGTCAGATGCGAAAATATAAATACAGGTTAATCAATTCCCCGATGCTCAAAAAGAGTCGAAGTTGGTGTGCTTGACTCGACCGGATTGTTCAGGAATCTATTCACCCCGGGATTTATCGTGCTGCCTAAAGAGTTTGACCCTGGTGGGCTGATTTTGAGGCTTTGAATGCCGGATTATTTAAGCTTAATATTTTACAAGACACATCCCTAGGATAACAAAGTGTAAACCAAATTACATATCGTCTTGTATTGTGCGTTTCGTTAAAGTCATCAACGACCAAAGTTCTGCTGTCATCAGAATAAGATAATGTTGCTTTAATATCTATTTAATAGAACGTATACCTAGCATAGAAATTAAGAAACAATGTCGCTGGACCTGACGTTGCTGACTACAACCACATCTATCTTAAAAATCATAATAATACAATTTTCATGGTTTTACTCTGACTGCCTATAATCTTTGGCCTTCGTGGACAGAGCATTCTCCAAGATAGGCTACCATAAAACCCTGCATATCTACATACGTATCCGCTGCTGCTCTGAGAACCCATCACTCCTAGCATCTAAAAACCACACAATTTAAAGCTATTAACTCGTTCCATAGTCCTTAATTCCCATCTACGGGGTCACGTATTCTCGCTCATTACTAACGCAGCAATCGAATGAGTATCTTCAAAAAAGGATACGGAAGCGGTATAGCGTCAGATATGGCCGACGAAAACGTATAACTTTCGTTCACGTGATTGACGTGCACACTAAATACGACGATAGGGCTCACTACTTCGTTAGTTTTCTTACAGTGTTTGAAAGCGAGCCTCTCCAAATAATAGCATTGATTCTCACGTTAAACTAAACCGATTACCTTTGGGCCATGTTTCACTCTTCTCCATTGGATCGAATCTCGTAGCTAGACAATATCTGGGAGATCACTCTAGGCCACAAAATTTGTCACATAAAATTAGAACAAACTTTCTACCATTTAACATTGACATTACGGTTTCTGAAATTCGAAGAACCTCAAACACTGCACATGTCAGCTAAAACAAGCTTGTTTTCAGAGAAACTTAAATGATGTTTTCTTGCAGTTTAAAACACCTCTTTCTGTCCTGAACTATGAATTTATATTTTGACTTATATAGACCTCCACGCGTGGAACTTGCCCAGCGAGAGCGCTCGTCTAGCAAGACGAAGTTGGCAGCATGAACACTGGGCAACGCCACCGGCCGCAGCGGCAGCTCCCAGAAGATCCTCCAAGCTACACACAAGTCGCTAACAAGACGCGGCTGACCGGCCACGAAAACTGTAACAGAATCCCGTCCGATGCCGGCAACTCGCTCGTCCGCACCACCCAGGGAGAGAAGTCGACTCACAGCGAGAACGGCCGGCATGCTGCCCCTCGACCTCTCCCGCATGGGCTCGCTGACGAACGACTTTTGCGAGTCGCCGCCGCCAGCCAGACGGCGAGCAGCGGCGGCAGCACGTCGCCGCCGCTGCTCGTCGCGACGGGCGCCGCAGCCGTCGCCGCCGGCGGCGCGCCGCACAACTTCAAGGCGATGCTGTCCAAGTACGCGTCGCGCGTGCAGCAGTTTGCGGCGACGCTGCGCACGGCGAGCGTCTGCGAGTGCGAGTACGCGATGGACGAGATCCACCGGCTCGTGCGGCAGGCGTGGAACATGCCCGGCGTCGGCCGCGACCTCGCCTACGCGCTCTGCGACGTGCTGCGCACGAGCGGCGCGCTCGACACGCTCATCGCTCACTGCTCGGACCCGTCGTCGGAGCTGCGCTTCCAGTCGGCGCGCACGCTCGAGCAGTGCCTGTCGACGAACAACCGCGACTACGTCGTCGAGACGGGCTTAGACGGCGTCGTGAAGGTCGCGTGCATGAAGGGCGAGCCGGCGATGGCCCGCGTCGGCACGGGCATCCTCGAGAACCTCTTCAAGCACTCGGAGGAGACGTGCACGAAGGTGGTGCGTCTCGGCGGGCTCGAGTCGATCCTGACGCAGTCGCGCAGCAACGACCTGCCGACAATGCGGCACTGCGCGGCGGCGTTCGCGAACCTCGCGCTCTACGGCGGCGCCGAGAACCACCAGCTGATGATCAAGCAGAACGTTCCCGAGTGGCTGTTCCCGCTCGCGTTCTCGAAGGACGACAGCACGCGCTACTACGCGTGCCTCGCGATCTGCTCGCTCGGCTCCAACAAGGAGATCGAGGCGGCCGTCAAGAAGTCCGGCACGCTGGAGCTCGTCGAGCCGTTCCTGACGTCGCACGACCCGCAGGAGTTTGCGCGCAGCGACGACGCGCACACGCACGGACGCTCCAAGGACTGGCTGCAGCTTCTCGTGCCGTCTCTTACCAGCTCGCGCGTCGAGGCACGCAGCCTTGCAGCGTTCCACTTTGCGATGGAAGCGAGTATCAAGAAACGACAGAACCGCCTCGAGGTGAGCGAGGGGCGGGGAGGGGTNGGGACTGGTGACAGGTAGGGGACTGGTGACTGGTGAACAGGTAGGGGACTGGTGACAGGTAGGGGACTGGTGATTGGTGAACAGGTAGGGGACTGGTGACAGGTAGGGGACTGGTGACTGGTGAACAGGTAGGACCGTAGGGGACTGATGATTGGTGAACAGGTAGGGGACAGGTGACAGGTAGGAGACAGGTGATAGGTAGGGGATAGGTGCCTGGTGACAGGTAGGGGACAGGTGACTGGTGACAGGTAGGGGACAGGTGACGACGACGACGATGATGGCGACACGTTATAGCTATGTGGGTATAATTCGTTCTGTCGTGCAAGCGATCGTATGTGTGCGTTGTATTACAATGTGTTCTGTGTAGACTCGATTTGTGTAGACTAGTTGTCTGAAACGTTCTGTCACGCAGGCGATATTTTCAATTGCATGACAATGCGTTCTGTTATGCAGGCGATATTATCAATTGCATGACAATGCGTTCTGTTATGCAGGCGATATTATCAATTGCTTGACAATGCGTTCTGCCATGCAGGCGAAATTTTCAATTCCATCACCATACAATGCATTCTGTCATGCAAGTGACGCATTCAATTGCACGACAATTTATTCTCACCAGCGAGCGACGCATTCAAATGCACGACAATACGTTCTGTCAGGCAAGCGAAACGTTCAATTACACGACAATTTATTCTCACAAGCGAGCGACGCATTCAAATGCACGACAGGCAGTGTATCTGTCATGTATTAAGCGATACATTATGTTGTCCGATTCATATAACCAACCCTACAAGATTATACTTCTAAGTCGACGAGTCTATGCTTCTACCGCCCACTCACTCGCGGGGGGGGGAGTGTAATAGAGCTGCTGGAAGCTTCTAGATTCAGTGAGAGTTAATGATGTGTGTGTTGTTGTTGTTGCGTGTTTGCTGCCAGCGGAGCGGCGGGGTGAGATCTACGATTGCACTGTTTGTTTGCTTGCTTTCTCCCTGTGCAGGGATTCGTCTGATCCAGCGGTGCTTCTGTTCTAGCAGTCCGAGAAGCACTCACCGGCTTTGGTGTACATTCTCTGTACTAGCTCTCTCACTGTGTCTGTCTCTCTCTCTCTCTCTCTCTCTCTCTCTCTCCGCTCTCGCTCTCGCCCTCTCCCTCTCATTGCTCTCTCTCTCGCTCTCTCTCGCCCCCCTTCTCTTCTCTCTCGCTCTTCTCTCTCTCTCTCTCTACTCTCGATCTCTCCTCTCTCTCTCTCTCTCTCTCTCTTCTCTCTCTCTCGCCTCTCTCGCTTTCTCTCTCTCTGTGCCCTCTTCCCTACTTCCCTCCCTCCCTTCCTTCCCCATCCCTCACTGTCTCTTTCCTTCCCTGCTTTACTGCCTCCCTCACTGCCTCCTTCCCTCCTTCCTCACTACCTCTTGTCCCACCTTCCATTACCCTTTCCCTCCTCCCTCCCTCCTGCCTTCCCTCCATCCCATCCCTTTCTACCTCCTTCCACCTGCCCCCTCTCGCTCCCTCCCTCCCTCCCTCCCTCCCTCCCTCGCTCCCTCCCTCCCTGTGTATTTCCCCTCCTTCCCCGGGGTGGTAGTTGCTTCGTTTAAATGGCGTACACGCACGCATGGTGTGTGTGTGTGTGTGTGTGTGTTTGTCGGATTGGGCGGAAACCCATGTGCAATTCATTTATTTCTCAATCACGATTATTGATCTCGTGGTGTCGGCGCACGTTTCTGTGTGTGTTTGTGGGTCACCTCTGTCCGCCGTCTGCACTGGTAATTTGTGGGAGAGCTGTGATGAATATTGATGAGATATGAGCAGGCGATGCATGGATGTGTGTTTTATCGATTACCTCGATGTTCTAACGTTTTTTTGTCTCATCTGCATATGTAAGAACATGCTGAGAGTGGTAATTAATACTAATTATAACCAGTAGCTCATCCGTTGGGATCGCTTCACTTCCAATATTTGGATTCGGCGTGCACATGTGTTTATTTAAACGTGCGTTAGTAACTAGAGCTCGATGATCTCTGAATTCCATTGTTTTTTTCTTCGTGGAAGCGTGTATCCATCCGTACGTTAATACATCTGCTGCTCGCAAGAGCTGTGATGAAATATGTTGGTTCATCTTTGGCATCGGTTCGCTGATAATATTTGTGTTCAACGTGCATGTTTGAACTATATACTTTATTCAAACAGGTTAACAGGGTACATATTAATAACTAATCATTGAAATTCCCGCATGTTACTACTCCGGAATGGAATCGAATTGCATTAAAATTGTATTACTACATACGTTCAAGGATTCCTGATCGTTGAAACAACGCAGTGGCTGGAGGTACGGCAGCCGTCGTTCGTTGAAGCCCCTTTTTGGCGTTAGGGTTAGGGTTAGGGTTAGGGTTTAGGGTTAGGTTTAGGGTTAGGGTTAGGGTTAGGGTTAGGGTTCTAGCTCATCTAAACTCTCAAATCGTGAATTTATTTCCCAATGCGTTATTTCGAAATCTGGCGCCACCCGCTGCCATC